TTTGGCTCAAGGAAAAAGAGGTGACAGGGTTTTGTAGATGCCCTGGTTCTTTAGGGGTTCGGCCGGGTTTAAGTACCTTCCTTCCCCTTTGATTGAACAAGAGAATTTCAGAAGAAGGAGCGAACCGCTCGAAAGAGATTATAGAGAAGTTGAAAAAACAAGAGGCAAACCGCGCGAAAGAGACTAGGGTATTTCGAAAGAGACGAAAGACTCGGAGAACAAGGAGCAAACCGCTCGGAAGGAACTAGAGAATTTCACAATAAGGAGCTGACCGCTCGAAAGAGATTACAGAAGTTCGAAAGAGAGTAGGGAATTTGGAAACAAGGAGCAAACCGCTCGCAAGAAACTAGAAAACTTGAGAACAAGGAGCAACCCGCTCGAAAGGAACCGGAGAATTTCAGAAGAAGGGGCAAAACCGCTCGAAAGAGACTAGAGAATTTCGGAGAAAGATTAGAGAAGTGGAAAACAAGGAGCAAACCGCTCGAAACGAACTAGAGAATTTCAGAACCGGGAGCAAACCGCCCGCAAGACTCGGGAATTTCGAAGGCGAATAGGGAAAGTGAATTCCACGAAAAAACCGCTCGAAAGGAACTAGAGCGGGTCGCCCGAAAGAGACATTAGAGAATTCCGACAGAGGCCCGAAGAATTGAAGACAAGGAGCGAACGGCACGAGAAGAACTAGAGAATTCAGAAGAAGGAGCAAGCCGCTCCAGAGAGACTAGATAATTTCGAAAGAGACTCGAAAAATTCAGAAGAAGGAGCAAACCGCTCGAAAGAGACGAAAGGAACTAGATAATTTCAGAACAAGAAGCAAGCCGCTCGAAAAAACACGCGAGAATTTCGAAAGAGACTAAAGAAGTTGGAAACAAATAAACGAGGAGCAAACCGCTCGCAACGAACTAGAGAATTTCAGAAGAAGGGACGAACCGCTCGAAAGACACTGAATTTTCAGAACAAGGAGCAACCCGATTGAAAGGAACTAGAGAATTTCTGAGCAAAGTGCAAACCGCTCGAAAGAGACTAGAGAATTTCGATGGAGACTAGAGAATTTGACAACAAGGTTTGCAAACCGCTCCAAAGAGACTAAAGAATTTCGAAAGACACTAGAGATTTTGAAGACATTGAGCAAACTACTCGAAAAGGACTAGCGAATTTCAGAAGAAGGAGCAAACGGCTCGAAAGAGACTAGAGAACTCCGAAAGAGGCTAGAGACTTTGAGAACAAGGAGCAAACCGTTGGAAAAGAACTAGTGAATTTCGGAGCAAACCGCTCGAAACAGACTAGAGAATGTCGAAAGAGATTCGAGATTATGAAAACAGGGAGCAAACCGCTCGAAAGGAACTGGAAGGTTTCAGAACAAGGAGCAAAACGCTCGAAACAGACTAGAAAGTTTCGAAAAAGAGAACGTGTAAACAAGGAGCAAACCGGTCCAAAGGAATTAGAGAATTTCAGAAGAAGGGGAGCAAAACCGCTCGAAAGAGACTAGAGAATTTCGAATAAAGACTACAGATGTTGAAAACAAGGAGCAAACCGCTCGAAAGGAATTAGAGAAATTCAGAAGAAGGAGCAAACCGCTCGAAAGAAATTCGAAAATTCCGAAGTTGAAAACAAGGAGTAAACCGTTTGAAAGGAAGTAGAGAAATTCAGAAGAAGGAGCAAACCTCCCCGAAGAGACCAGAGAATTTCGAAAGAGACTAGAGAAGTTGAAAACAAGGAGAAACCACTCGCAACGAACTGGAGAATTTCAGAAGAAGGGGCAAACCGCTCGCAAGAGACTGAATTTTCAGAACAAGGAGCAACCCGATTGAAAAGAACTAGAGAATTTCTGAGCAAAGTGCAAGCCGCTCGAGAGAGACTAGAGAATTTCGATAGAGATTAGAGAATTTGACAACAAGGATCAAACCACTCGAAAAGAACTAGCGAATTTCAGAAGAAGGAGCAAACGGCTCGAACGAGACTAGTGAACTTCGAAAAAGACTAGAGACTTTGAGAACAAGGAGCAAACCGTTGGAAAGGAACTAGTGAATTTCAGAAGAACGAGCAAGCGCGAAAGAGACTAATGACTTTGAGAACAAGGAGCAAACCGTTCGAAAGGAATTAGGGGAATTCAGAAGAAGGAGCAACCCTTTCGAACGGTTTGCTCCTTGTTTTCAAACTCCCTAGTCTCTTTCGACATGTTCTGGTCTCTGTCGAGCGGTTTGCTTCTTCTGAAATTTTCTCCTTCCTTTCGAGCGGTTTGCTCCTTGTTTTCAAATCCTCAAGTCTGTTCCGAAATTCTCTAGTCTCCTTCGAGCGTTTTGCTCCTTCGCTTGAAACTCTCTAATTCCTTTCCGGCGATTTGCTCCCTGTTATCAATTTCTCTTGTCTCTTTCAAGATCCCCTAGTCCTTGTTCTGAAAATATCTAGTTTCTTTCGAGCGTTTGCTGCTTGTTTTCATTAGTCTTGGGTCTCTCTCGAAAGTTTCTAGTCTCTTTCAACGTTTTGCTCCTTGTTCTGAAACTCTCTAATTTGTTTCGAGCGGTGTATTCCTTGCTTTCAATTTCTCTAGCCCGTTTCGAAATTATCTAGGTTAGAAGGAACAAGCCGCTCAAAGAGACTGGAAACTTTCGAAAGAGGCTAGACAGATTGAATACACCGCTCGAAAGGAAGTAGAGAGTTTCAGAAGAAGGAGCAAACCGATCGGAAAAGACGAGAGAATGTCGAACGTGAAAACAAGGAGCGAACCGTTCGAAATTAACTAGAGAACCCTAAACCCTAAACCCTAAACCTTAAACTTCTGAACCAGGGGCAAACCGCTCGAAAGAGACCAGAGAATATCGAAAGAGACGGGGGGATTTGAAAACAAGGAGCAAACTGTTCGAAAGGAACTCAAACATGTCAGAACAAGAGTCTTGAAAACAAGGAGCAAACCGCTGGAAAGGAATTAGAGAATTTCAGAACAAGGAGCAAACCGCGCGAAATAGACTAGAGAGTGCGAAAGAGACTTGTGAATTTGAAAACAAAGAGCAAGCCGCTCGAAAGATACCAGAGTTTTTCGCAACAGGCTTGCGAAATTGAACACAAGGAGCAACCCTCTCGCAAGGAACTGGAGAAGCGTAGAACAAGGAGCAGCCCGCTCGAAAAAGACTAGAGAAGTTGAAAACAAGAAGCAATCCGCTCGAAAGGAACCAAGGAATTTCAGAGCAAGGAGCAAACCACTGAAAGAGATCAGATATTTTCGAAAGAGACTAGACTAAAGTAATGGAAAACAAGGAGCAGACCGCTCGAAAGGATTTGGAGAGTTTTTGAACAAGGAGCAAACCGCTCGAAAGAGAGTAGAGAATTTCGAAAAAGACTAACGAAGTTGAAAACAAGGAGCAAGCTGCTCGAAAGGAACTAGAGAATTTCAGTACAAGGCGAGAATTTCTGAACAACGAGCGAACCGCTCGAAAGGGACCAGAGAATGTCGACATTGTCTAGAGAAGTGGAAAACCAGGAGCAAAGCGCTCGAAATTAATTATTGAATCTCAGAAGAAGGAGCAAACCGCGCCTAAGAGACTATAGAGAATTTCGAAAGAGACTGGGGAAATTGAAAACAGGGAGCAAGCCGCTCCTCCAGGGTTCCGTCTTAGCGGGGCTTATACTATTTGCATTCGACAATTTAAGGTTTGCGGTTTTCTCAGAACATGCGAACTGGACGAATTTACGTATGTAGACAAACCTTCATCGGTTGCATATGGCCTATGGTTTAAAATCGGATTTTTAACCCTAAGCGAGAGAAAAACATAGATTCGATTTTAAGTTCTTCCCGTGGCGCTCGACTGGTGGCCGCTGCTTGGTTCAGAAGTTTATATTCGACTTTAAGCCATCCGGATGCGATGGCCACGCCCCACCCGGGAGAGGAATAAATTTGAATTTAATCAATTTAATCCTTTTCTAAATTCGAAACCTTGCCTCAAGCATGTTAGGCTGCTCTTGCTGTTCGAAGCCTGACGTGGCTCTTTGTCGAAACTGTGTTCGCCAAAGATCCTGTTATGTTCGTCGAGCCCATGCCCACATGGATGTGCTTTCTACGCACGGGACAGGACGAAGCGCGACCATACCGCGTGTCTCGGCTGGAGAAACAAGATGTTAGAACACTCGCAAGAAGCCAGAAACCTCCAAGGGCTCTTTCGGGGGCTTCGGCAGTCGAATGAAAGTGGAAATTTTTTTGCTCCCCTGGGCAGGCCGCAGTGCACTACGTGGTGAACGAGGACCCTCAAAGCTGACTGTTTGCGCCTCTAGCACGTTTGACGACGGGATGTATCACAGGGGTCGCAAGGATGCCGAACACTTGAAAGAGTTGCTGTTCAGTATCGAAAGTCTGGCACCCAGAATGCCGTTTGTTCTCCAGGTCCTCCAAACCTCTCTTTATCGAGGCCTCTGGATGCACTTCAACGAGCGCTTCGACTACCCAGTCCTCATTTTCCATGATGGTTTGAGCCCCAAGACCCGCGAGAGCATCGTGGCGAAGACGCCCGGACAGCGCATTTGGCTGGGTGCCCAGCGCGTGCTCCAACCTTTCTGGAGATCAAACTCAAGACCATCCTAAGCAAGCCCCAAAAGCCCTGAACCGCGCTCTTTCGCCTTTTGTTCTTCAGGTTCTTCTCGGTGGGGAACTGGGTCCCCAGCGAGGCCCAGCACGCTCTCCACAGCAACTTCGGAGCAGGAGTCAGGGTGCGGGAGGGCCTCAGAGATTCTTAGGGCATCGCAGGGTTCCGTCGGCAAGCCGGTGTTGATCAGAAGTGCCAGTCCGCACAGCAGCGTGCCGAGCCGAGTCCAGGATACATGGCTCAGTCCAGATTCCGGTCAGGCCCCGCTGTTGGGGAAGTGGGGGTGCAGCTCGTACTGCCAAGACTGCTTTGATGAGTCCGTCATAGAATAATTGAATTTAAAAGCCTAAGGGCAAGGCCTGCAAAAGTCATTTCAAACGACTTGACCCGCTTTCTCTGACAGCACAAGATTCTAGCAAGGAGCAGCCGAAGCATATGGTGCTCGAGAGTACACTTCAGGGCACGAGGCTTGTCACAGCACAATCCTTCTGAGAAGGCAGATAATTTTCTGAAGAACCCAAGTGCCAGGCCCGGTGTTTCACCACGAAGCCCTCGACGGCTTCGACTACCTCTGGTCCCTGGACAGCGATAGCCTCGGTCATGTGGGTAACTTTACGCCATCCTACAGCTGCGGTGACTTGCGCCACCAGAAAGGCGACAGCCACTTCCCTGCCCCTGTGGACGTCGACCCCTTCTTGCAGCTGCACTCGAATCCGGAGCTGGTGATTGGCTGGCCGGGGGCTCGGTTGTAGATTGCGAGATCCCGCCAACAGTTTGATCAAGTTTGATCACTGGCCTGGCATATTTCGCCTGGGCAGTTGCTCCTTGGTCAGTTTCAACACTTCGGAGTGGCAAGATTAGTGCAGCAGGTGCTGGGGCTTGGGAAGCCGTGGCATGGAAGCGCTGCCAAAGCAAGTTCGCAGCGCCAGCTCAAGTCCCAACCTGGAGCGCCGAAGTGTGCCCAAGCCAAGCGCAACTCTGGCCAGATGTTCCGTGAACGATCCGTGTAGATTGCAGGCACGCTGACCACTGCATTGTGGTAGTTTTGACAGAGCCAGCCTTCGACCAGTACTGCAGCCACGATAGCTGAACGTCAGCATTCGTTATAACGGCGAGCACACGAAACCCTGGAAGCAAGAGAACAAGTATTTTCTTCTAAACACCCCATCATCATCCATCATCCGTAACGAGTGGGCACGAGCAGAGCAGGGAGAGCCGGGTGGGGCAGTCGCCTAAACCGGCCCGACCAAGAGTTGGCAGGAGGCAGTCCAGGTAGCAGGGAAGGTCCAAACCGGACTAACCTACTCAAGCCGAGGGCCAATCTGTCAGCGCTGTCACGGGAAGCAGTGTTGCTTGTGCAGGTCCTATATCACCACGACCTCGCCTGCTTCGGCTGCGTGGCTGACTTGCGTCTCAACGACCCTGTGAGCGTGCCGACAAGACGCCCTGCCCTGGCAGAGAAGGCGCGTGAATGTAGCGATGCGAGGTTCGTCGCCTCTGGGAGTACACCATGCTCTACGCGATGAAGGAGAAGGTGCCACGACCGATTTGTGCTAGAGCGTCAGCTGTGCGGGCTTGCAGCAGGTGGTGGCGCTATTTTTTCGTTTTTTTCCTTTTTTTTTTTCCGTTTATTTTGGTATTTTTTCCGTTTCTTGTGCTCAGCCAGCAAGCAAGCAAGCAAGCACACAAACAAGCCAGCAAGCAAGCATGCAAGCAAGCAAGCAAGAGCCCAGAATGAAGCAATTGTCGAAGTCTGACATACAGGTTTGAGAGTTCAGGGTTTAGGATTAGACTCCAGGGTCTATAGGTTTTGGGATTCATGAACCCAAATCCCTACGCATATATGCATACGTACGTACGTACATACACACACACA